CGGGCCGGCCGCACCCCGGCGCGGCGGGCCTGTTATTTTCAGCAGAACTTTCCACGCCCCGCGTGTGGAGCGGGTCACTCCGCGGTGCCTCATTAACTGGTGGGAGAAATGCGGTGGAAACGATGTCAAGGGTCATGGGGCAGCGCGACTTCCAGGGCAGCGCTGCAGCGGGGGCTCCGCTGTGGCCCCCTGCATCACCGCAGCTCACATGCTACCCCAGGGGCCCCCACAAAAGACCTGGGTGTGAATCCCTCTGAAGTAGGGTGGTAAAGCCCATTCCGCACCTACAAGAGACCTTGCAGAAGTAAACAATTAAAAATAAGGTAACGTGAATCTTGATAGGTTTGTGCCCATGGTGTGGATGCAGGCATTTGAAGAGCACGGTTTTGTACAGGTGTTTTGCTGTCTTCATGGAGTTGCTGGGCAGTTTCTCAGCAGTTCCTGACGTTGTTCGGGTGGAAATACGCCACCAGAGCAGGAGCAACACCTGCAGGTGGCAAAACTGCACCTCATGAGGGGAGAATCTTTGTCTGCAGCTGTCTCTGCCCAGCTTCAACCTTTCACCAAAACTTCAGTTCTCTCTCTCAGTCGCCGCTGGAAGTGGGATTGACAAAACCACTCCTCACAAGATCACGGCAGGGAAATTTGCCATTAAGTTGCTTGTTTGAATTGGCCAGAAGCAGCTAATTGTCTTCTCTGAAGGTGTTCACAAACATTAAGGAGGTAATTGCAGCTACAATTAAATCAGTGACAAATTTGACTTCGGTAGGGTCAAGATTTCATGCTAATGAGAGATCAGTGACACATACAACTTTATGGGGTGTATAACAGGTTCTTACCATCACTGTCAGTCCTGCCAAAAAGATTTTAGACCTATCAGAGAGCATGGTGGTGTTCTGTTTTTCTGATAAACTTCTTTTTGAAGATGTCCAAACAAAAGCTTTTCATCCTTACTGACTGCAAAGACACGTCTTTCTCATTTCACTGACCTATACAGGCAAATACGGCATCGCACCCATCACCCTGAAAGTGGGTTGCACATTATGCCTAAACATCCAGATTTTTCAGCACTGCTATTTTTCAGTAAGTACTTGGAAACCTTCAGTGTAGTTTGGGTCTTCCATCACTATATTTACATGCCATTATGTATTTTAATGTCAGAATATTTCATTTTGTTTTCTTACAATAGAGGAGAATGGTAAAAGGAGAATTTTAATTTTTGTTACAACATTGGCACTAAGAAAAGATAGAGAAGTGTGGTGATTGAGTTATTCTTTTAGTTATGGTTTTCCTTTAAATTTGAAGCTGAAGGAAAATTATCATGTGTTAATGAAAAAAAATACCAGTATATATTAATTTTACTTTGTCTTGGATATCATCTGAAAATCAGCTTCTTGTATGGGTTATTGTATTTCATGTTCACCGAACTGATGCAGGAAATTAAATCTGAATGAGAAAGAAGACTTGGTGCTGGGGTTAATGATAGCTTTCTGAAATATTTCTATTTCTAGTTTTATATGCAAGTCCACATAAGAAGAATTGAGATGGTGTAAAAAGAGAATACATTGATAACTATTAGGAACCTTTTGGTTAAGGGGCAGCCTACACGGTGGTTAATGTTCCTTATGCTTTTACATTGTGTAGGATTTGGAGAAGCACTGAAAAAGAGGAAAAGCATGAGCCATGATATGAGGAGAGTACTGAGGGAGCCTTCTCAGAAGCGTAGGGAGTACCAGAGTGACAAAAAAGAGATGGAAGCATTTGGAGGACGCCTAATAGATAATACTGTAGTATCAACCCCCCAGTCATGAGCCTCCAGACTCAGAAGTGTGAGGTACAGAGTCAAAATATGAGTGTATCTGTGGTTTGGAAAACTGAAAGTCTAATTGTAGAATTGGAAAATTGGGGGAGAATTGCAGTTATGTAAAATATACTCCCTCAGAATAATAATAAAAGCTTTCTCTTTGAATGATGTTATCACTGTTGTTTTTCAGTTCTTAAGAATTCTTTCTAAAGCAGTGGTTTTAAATACAAAGTGGTTTTAATTTATCACAATTATTTCAAAATTTACAGTATTAATATTAGGCATACTTTATTACTATACAGTTTTTACTTGACTCTCCTTTTTAATATAAGTTAATAATGTTGTTGCTTTATATTTTCAATGTTTTGATTATTTTCTGGTATTTTAGATATATATCAAGGAAAAAAGTCCAGCTCAGTACTTCGATGCATAGACTACTTTCATATCTATTAAAAAATAGGAAAAAGAGAAGTATCTGTTTTTTAACATAAGTGGTTCTATGTGAAAATAGGCAAAGATATAAAATACATTTTTCCTTCTTAAAGAAGTAACTTAGAAGTTTAATTTCAATAAGCAAGTAAACAGCATTTACCAGTTGTCAAGTTTTTCCAGGAACTCAAGGATGAGGCTTTATGCTTTCAGGACGCACAGATAACCTCAGAATATGTGGCGAGAACTGTCGCTGGGAGACTCCAAATACAAAGTGATTGAAGGAGGCACTTCCCCAGAACGCCTCACGGAGATAGCAGGGTGTGATGGAGTGGGCAATTAAAGCATGACCGGTTCTGGCAGGCCACTGCAAACTCAGTGCTCTGTCAAGGTGGAGAAAAAACTTGTGCTTAGTATGGTTCTTGAATGCGGTACAGGAAGAGTCAAGGAACAAATGAACATCAATCTTGTGATTGTCCCCAAGGCACAAGAGTAGAACAAGTGACAAGGGTGCAGGTACTTTCTCCAAGGGGATAAGACAATAAGGTACTTGGGTCCTGATGGGGATGACGGAGTTTGACCATCTGGGAAACAATTGTTCTGAGCAACTGGACTTACTATCTTGAATAAAGAAAATGGACAAATGATCCTCTGTGTATTAGTTACTTTCTAAAAAAAAAAAAAGACAGAAACAAGTCTTGATTCACAGGCTGGGAGAAGGAATAACCCCAGCCCTTTCCAGTAGTTGGGTGGCTGGGAACATTGACTGAAGTTTGGGAAAACCAGTTTACATCCCTGCTCTGCCCGAGGGGATCTGAACCCACATCTTCACTACAAGATTAAACAAAGTGGAAGTGCTCTTACTTCCTGAGGGAAGGATGAAAGCAGCCTATATTTTCAGTCTTTCTCCCCAGAGAAACCGTGGAAGAAAAGTGACATAAAAACTTTGAGCTGCGCAAATCAGCAGTGCTCTGCTTCCATCTCTATTTCAGTGGTACTTTTGACAATCAAATCTTCTCAGCCTCTTCATCCCTTCTATTTTATAGATGCTGGTTGTTTGAAAAGGAACCAAAAAAATGACACAGCATCAAAGAGAAGAAACCTTTCTAGACAACACTCTCTCCAGTGTGATGACATCATCATAAGAGTCTCTAATGCAATGTAATCTGCAAAAATATTACCAAAAGCATATAATGATTTTAATGGAATATTGAAACACTGTGGTAAATTAAAAGGAATAAAAGTTTCTTTGTTAGATACGGAACTGGTTTTGCAATGCTTGTCCAAGGGGAAGACAAACAGACAGCAGTGGAATATTTGGTTTGAATTTAAGATTTTTCTTCTTCATTAATTATGGAGTTCTATAACACAAAAATAAGATAATTTAATTTTAAAAGTGGGAGTCACATCCCTAAATTTGCACTGATACAATTATTAAGAGCTGTTCCATTATTACATTTCTCCAGACTACACACTTTAGCAATTTTGTAATTAAAATTACATAGTAATTAAAACTGCTACCCCATAACAATAATTTTATAACTGTAGATCCCAGATTCCTTCCTGGAGGTTGACACCTGTAAAAGTAAGTTTGCTTGCATCAGCAGCCCCCTTACTTAGTTCCCTCTGTGTTTTAGTGGAAAAAATAGGCTTGATATTGACATCAGTTTGCACCCGAAGTCCCAGTATTTACAGAAATAAACATTTTGCTTCTGGAAAATAGAGGATTCTTCTACTGAAGGACCAATTAGAGTTGCTTCTCAAGTAGAGACACCCAACTTGGAGAAGGTGGCTGAAAAATCTTTCACACATGAGGGCTTATTGGGGAGTCTAAGTATATATCCTCAGGACCATGAGAACTAGATACTGATAGGAGATTTTATTTCTTGAAAACGTGTCTTTTCTTGACAGCTTGTGTTGCCATAAGCCAGCATTTCTGATAAACAACACATTCACTGCCTCCACTGTGGCCAGGAGATACCTGTGTCTGACCCTGGAGAGCTGTTTCTTTTGACACAGGAGGGAAAAGTCAAGAATTTGTTAATCCCTTTAGTCTGTCACTTATGTAATAGTAAAGTGGAAATTAAATTCTATGAAACTACTGAGATGTTTACTGAAAACCAGAAAAGTACTTTATACTTGAGTTATTCTGAATGTTATGTGCATGTGTAGAAAGTAAAACGATCCTTTAATGCTGAGAACAGATAATGCATTTTTCCAATAAATGCTGTACTTCATTGTACAACTTCTTTGCAACATGAGCATTGCAAACATGCTTAATACTCTATTAACAAAGATCATTAAATATAAACATAACTTATTGAAAAGTAATCCCAAATTCTCTTAAAAGTCTGTTTTTTCATTGATTTTTTTTGTCTGGGCATATTCCCCTGTTATTTAGAATGTATGAATTATTAAATGAAGAGAGTCAATATAATGATTTCTTTAACAAAGACTACTAGCTACTCTTTCTAGATTGAGTTTTTTCTTAGCTGATTTCTTGCTGCCATAAAAGATTAACTCAGAAAATCACTTTGATTTAGCGAGAGATGTCAAAACATCCAGCAGGTCTAACTGGTTTTCTTCCAATGTCAGTCAAAATAGTATGTGGTTTTAGCACTGATTCATGTTTCTGTCAGCTGCTGTACATAAACTTGCTGAGTAATCAATTCAGACACA